ACCTCTCTCTAGATCCCTAGTGAGATGAAAACACCTCTGAGTGTCATCAGCACCCGTAGAGACAGAGGTCAGCAAGTGGGGAAGGCGGGAAGGCAGCCCCTGCGCTTCTCATGGGCATCAAGAGTCGAGGGCACAGCTCTGAGGGACTGATGGATCCCAGAGATGGGAAAGTCCCAGCCAACCACCAGGGGTCATCGTCCAAGGTAAGGGAGGTAGGGCTGCACTTGCTTGCTGGGGGGCAGAGGTTCATTAGCTCTGTCCATGAGCTGTGTGGCCCTGGCCAGGCCCCAAATTCACTGAGCCTCTGGTGTCAAGTGGAAACTGTAAGTTCTACCCCTGTGACTAGAGGCTCGCTGGCGGTGGCTGGTGGCGGTGGCGGGGAGGGAGTTCTCAGGAACCCAAACGCTGGTTTATTGGAATCTCATATAACATCAACTAACCAAATGCGGTGAAAGGACGCAGCTCCAATCACACCCAAAAGGGCAGGGTCAGATTTTCCAGAAGGCTTCCAGTCATCTGACCAGAACCTAAGTTTCCCAAGGTGCGGGGCATACTAGAGGTGTGGGCACACCACGGCCAGTGGTTCATACTAGGGTGGGTCACTCCAGGCAGGTCTCCCTCCTTCCTTCACTGAGGCCCCGAAGGAGGAGAGAAACAGCCAGACGGTTCCGGGGTGGGCTGAGCCCCTACACGCCCCAGGGATCAGGTCTTCTGCCGCCCTGCGAAGGGGAGGCGGGGGAGGTAGGGCATGATGGGGCAGCTCTGGGGCGCGGACAGTCTTTCAGACCAGCTGTCCCATCCGCAGCACAGTCTCACGGGGAGATTTGCAGGCATGCCCGGGACTCCGGGGCTGGACGAGGGGCGCGCGGCTGGGGCACACCCCATTCGGATGGGGCAGTAGGCGCCTCGGGCTCTGCGGAGCAGCGAGAGTCCTGGCCTCCAACTTCTAGCAACTTGGAGTTGACTTGGGGCCCGGCCACCCATCAGGGGAAACTGAGGCCGGCAGAGCAGCGCCTCCCAGCGCTCCGGAACCCTCCCTGCCGCTGCGTGCCCAGGGCCAAGGCCACAGCACAACGATCCTGAAGTACTCACCGGCCGCAGTGCTGGGCCTCCCAGCCCGCCGCGAAGTTGCTCAGGAACCGCGGAGATTGCAGCGGCCAGCAAAGCAAGCGAGGCGGAGCGCGCGGCCCTGCATCCAGCGCGGCCACGGCCAAGGGGCGGGGCCTGGGCGGGGCCTCCGCCGCCCTCCATTCCTGAAGCGACTCCCGGGACTCGGCTCGCTGAGCGGCTGGTGCGCCTGCCAATCATCGAGTGCCCTCGCCAATCACGGTGCGCCTCGCCTTGCATCGATGCGCTCTCTTAGGTCCACCAGTGGACAGATGGCGCCCGGAGGGCGGGTGCGGCCGGCCCACAGTGAAAGTCTCGGAGTGAACTCGGCCCGAGTCCTGCCCCCTAGCCGCCCCGCCTCCAGGACGTTTCTTTCTTGACCCAAGCTTGTGAGCCTGCTGAGTAACAGGTGGTTGGACCCAGGAGCAAGAGTCGCGCCACCTTCCGCTCGCCTCTGCACGGTGGAGCTCCATCTTCACACTTCAGACCGAGTATTGTATGTAGTGCTTGCTTACTGACAGCGCGCATTTTCGTGCCAGGAGCCCTAATTCCGACCATCGAGATACACAGAGGACTCCCCAGTGTAGCAGCAAGTACAAAATAAGTGTGGCCCGAGTTAAGTGTGCACGTGCCACCAAATACCTCTTTAAATGAGCAAAACCAAACTCAGACTAGCACGCTTTTAAGATTAGCCAGGCAATAATGCCTGTCTGGCTCAGGCAGTTGGAAGGCCCCTTCTTTCTGACCCTCTTTTTGGTGTCTGAGAGGTGTGGTTTGGAGATCAGAGCTATGGTTTAGTTTTTGTGTTCCTTTCTTTGGACCGCACAACTTACTGCACGGAAAACCTGTCCTGCTTACGTGCAGCAACATCGTTCAGGCTTACAAAGACAGGACCTCCAGCGTGTCGGGAGGTAGTTCAGGTGGCTTTGGAGATGGTCTCCGTCCCCTGAACCACTCCAACCGTGCTCTGTCAAAGGTACATGGTTCACCAGATACTTTGATTCTGCAGCTGCTCTGGGGGCCTAATCTTCTCACATACCCTGGAGAAGCTCACGGAGGAGGAAGGAAGCTCATCCCAGCAGCATGGCTCTGCCCTGGCTCCATCTGGGGCCCTTTCAGAAACGAAGGTTTTCTGGTTCACCCCTGTGTGTGGGTGACTCTTTCCCGTGGGGTGAGTGGGGGGGGCGGGGAGTTCAGGACGCAGGGGCACCAGATACCAGTGGCTTTTTCAGACCTATAGCCATATCTTACCAAAACAAGTTTCTGGGAGTTGTTTGGAGGAATGACTTTTATATATATATATATAAACCTTTCCCAATATGGAAAGAGAAAAGTGGCCCCTGCAGTAGCAATTCACATTTCCATGGTAACTAATTGTCTTAATGCATTTTCTGTTGCTATGACAGAATATCCGGGATTGGGTAATTTGCAAAGGAAAGAAGTTTATTTGGCTCATTGTTCTGGGGGTGGGAGAAGGCAGGATCAGGCAGAAGCATGTGGCAAGGACCTTGTCCTGCATCAACGTGTGCAGAAAAACAGAAGGGTAGGTAGGATGTGAAGAGCAGAAAGCACAAGGCACCACATTCTGTGTCCTGCTCAGTAGAAACTAATTAAATGACAGTAATTAATGCACCTCTCCAAAAGACTCCAACCCCTTTAGTGACATAACCACCTCAAAGGCCCCATCTCCTCTAAATTCTTGACAGTGGGAAACACACTGCTAATATAAATGCACTTTAACTGATACATACAACTTATGCAGGTGTATGGGTACTGTTTGAGAAGCACACACACACAGAGAGAGACTGAGATTTACGTCAGGGTAAACATAGCTCAAACGTTTGTCATCTCTGTGATGATTTTCTTCTATTTTTGAGATTCACAGCACATCACCATAAGCACAGGGCCACTTTACTGTGTGACATCCACCAGAACTTCTCCCTCCTCTGACTCAGTGTCCACCTCCCACCTCTCCCCACCCCACCACCTCCTACAAACCACAGCTCAAGCACACACCTGTTTCCTTCTCCTGGGAAGCACTTCCCTCCCAATTATCTCTTAGGCATTTAAAAGTTCTTTAAAAACCAATTTGGTGAAGGGTTTGTTTTTTTTTTTTCACACTTGGACCACCTCCCCTCCATCTGGGAGGGCTGGGGCTTGGCCCACCCTGAGGATTAGCATCTTGTTCACACTTGCAAGGCTCAGCATAGCGAGGCTTGCTCTAGCTAGGCTTTGCCTACTCACTCTTTAGGGCCTCTAAGAGCATGCCTAGCCTGGTCATCCACCACTGCTGGCCACTGTCTGGGCGATCACACAGCCTGACTCAGCATGCTGCATAAGCTGCCACACAGGGACCAGAATGGGGCGAGGGCACGGAGAGTACACATGGAACAAATCGTCCTGTGGCTGAGGGAAGAGATTGGAGGAAAACTGCCTCTGACTGCGCAGGGTCTTGGGATGTGGTACCTCGATGCCTTCTCCATGGCAGATTAAAAAATGGACAAAGTCACAGGCAAATCCGAAAGGAACAGTGGGAGTGAGGGCCAATTAGCAATCTGGAAGGTAACTCGAGGAGCGGGCACCAAATAATGAGGAGGGAAAACACAAACCACACCAGACAAAAAGGGTTGGGACTGGGAGGCTGGCCCAGCGGGTGAGAACACTTACTGCATAAACCTGAGGACCTGAGCTCGACTCCTTAACACTCACATAAAAAGTTGGGTGCAGCCACACGTTTGCCTCAAACCACAGCTCTGTCGGTGGTTGGAGACAGGCAGATCCCTAGAGGTTGCTGGCCCCCAGCCTAGCTCCAGGTTCCGTGGAAGACCCTGTCTCAAGGGCATAAGGGGGAGAGAGAGCTAGAGCAGAGAATCCCACCCCTCCCCTGGCCTCTGCATTCATAAACAGAAGCATGCGCCCACCCACATAGACTACACATGTCACACACATACATCACACACAAGCACATACATTCACACACACCGAAAAGAAGATGATCAGGAGGAGGAAGGGATGGAGGAAGAGGAGTTAATGATCTAAAAGACATCCCGAGAGGAGCGCTATGTAGTAAACAGAAGCCCCGGGAACTGGAGGGGAAGAGAAGGTGGAAGAAGAGATGGGCAGTGACCCTGGGCTGCACAGGTACCTTGTGACCCAAGGAAACGGAGAAATACGTGTGGGATGTCCGCAAGGAAGGGTCACAACCAAAGGAGGGGAGAGTTCCGGTGGCACCAAGCCTCTGGGGGCCTGTGGAGCAAAATCAAGTCTCCCTCCCCTGTGGTGACAGGACTCATGTGTCAGGTACCAGAAAGAAAACATGCAACGTGGCAAACAGCTGGCCTGAGCTGCCTTTTAGAGGGAAATAGTGAGGAAGTTCCGCTCTGATGGTAACATCCCAAACATTGTGGAGACCACCAGACAGAGTACAGCCAGGACCAGGAAGTGGTGGCCAGCAGTGGCTCTTAGCTCTGATTTGATCTGAGCCAGAACTCCCTGCCGGGTCTGCCAAGTGGGGCTCTCAAATAATACACCACCGGCTCCCGGGAAAGTCTGTGTTAACCCACAACTAAAAAAATATAATCTAGCTTCTCTTAGAGAAGTCAGGGCAGTCTAGGATCACATATGACTGGGGAGAGGGAGGGAGGGAGGGAGGAAGGAAGTCTAGTTTGGAGAGAAAGCAGGGCGTGAAAGGTTCCTTGTGGGGTACCACTGCCATTAATTTTTAATGCTCTAAAGGAAAAAAAAATTGTGGCTCAGGAATCAGAAAGCTGTCGTTAGTGGGAAAGTGGCGGAGAATTTCCGAATTAATGTGGAAGTTAGGCAGAGCCAGAGGACCAGTAAGGAAGCAGGATCGATGGCTTCTGTCGCAGTGATAAACACCACCACCCAACACCTTGGAGAGGAAAGGGTTTATTTCAGCTTGTGGGTCCAGAAACACAGTCTATCATGAATAAAGTCAGGGCAGGAACTCGAAACAGGAACCTGGAGGCAGAAACAGAAACAGAAGCCATGGAGGAGTGCTGCTTACTGGCTTGCTCCTTATGGCTTGCTCAGCCTGCTTTCTTATAGCACCCAGGACCACCTGCCTTGTTTTCCTCCCACATCCTAATCCTAATTTCTTTCTATGATGTCATGATGTTCAGATTCTCCACTCAAGTGCCCCCCCACCTTGCTCCCCCCGCAACTCCCTTTTGCTGGCAGGATTCAGTGACTTCTTCCCAGGTCCACATCCAGGCACTGGGCTACACCCAAACTCACAGACACTGAGGGCAGAGCCTGGTGAATTGTTTTCAGGAGAGTTGAACTGGAACTTTTCCAGGCTTCTGGTATGCTAGGAAGTGAATCAACGATATCAGGTCCCGATTGCTGAATCCTGTAAATGGAACCATGCAGATTTGATTAAGTTAAGGGTCCAGGAGTAGCGGGGGGGGGGGGGGGGGGGGGGGGGGGGGGGGGGGGGGGGGGGGGGGGGGGGCTTAGATGTAATCATGGGTCTCCTTCTGGAGAGAGAAGCAGGAGGTTTGGACCACATAGAGAGGAAGATGAATCTGGGACAAAGAGAGGTCAGAGATGCTATACTTGGAAGGATGTGGTGGCAACTGGCCACCACTGGAAGCTGGGAGAGGCAAAATGACTTCTCCTTAGTGACAGCCCAGTGATAGCGACTTCAGAGGGTTAGCTCCAGAATAGTGGCAGGTACATCTCAGTGGTTGGAAGCCACCAAGTTATCACAAGGCAACCACAGGAAGTGAACAGTCAGTGATAACATGGCCAGGATTATGGCCCTGTGGTACCTGGTACCCAGCCAAGTTCCCATAGATAAGCTTGGGTGTGAAAATTCTGGTCTTTCACAAGGATGGCCTTGGGGAGAGTGTGGTCAACCCCTTGGCATTTAAACAGACATTCATGAAATGAAAGACTCAGTGCCCACAGGATAAGCCAGCAGTGCTGAGCACTGTGGCTGGCCCCTGAGTGACCAGGTGAAATGTTTCAGAGACTTACCATATGCGGTGGTTTGAAAGAAAATGGTGCCATAGGGAGTGGCACTATTAGGGGGTGTGGCTTTGTTGGAGTAGGTGTGGCCTTGGAGGAAGTGTGTCACTGTGGGGGAGGGCTTTGAGGTCTTCTGTGCTCAAGCTACGCCCAGTACACAGTTCACTTCCTGTTGCCTTTAGATCAAGATGTAGAACTCTCGGCTCCTTCACTAGCAACATGTCTGTCTGCATGCCACCGTGCCCTGCCTTGATGATAATGGAATAAACCTCTGAAATTTCAAGCCAGCCCCAATTAAAGGCTTTCCTTTATAAGAGTTGCCATGGTCATGGTGTCTCTCTACAGCAATAGAAACCCTAAGACACCATATCCATCCCCATAGCCTGAATCTGGGGCTTTTAGCCCTATGGTTGATAGAGGTAACACATGGAGGAGGACAGAGTTGACTAGTTACATCAGCACCCGATGAGCTAGGCCCAGGAATCTTTGATATATAGGGCCACTGTACTGGCTAGTTTTGTATCAACTTCACACAGGGTAGAGTCACCTGGGAAAAGGGGCCTTCAAATGATAAAATGTCCTACCAGATTGGTCTGTGTGTCGGGCATTTTCTTAATTAGTGATTGATTTGGGAGGGACCAACTTATTGTGAGTGGGCCACCCCGAGGGAAGTGGTCCTGGGTTCTATAAGAAATTAGGCTGAGCAAGCCGTGAGAGCAAGCCAGTAAGCAGTACTCCCCCATGGCCTCTGCATCACCACCTGCCTCCAGCTTCCTGCCCTGCTTGAGTTCCCGTCCTGACTTCCTTCAGTGATTGAACTGTGATGTGGAACTAAAACCTAAACAGACCCTTTCCTCCACACGTTGCTTTTGTTCATAGTGTTTTATCACAGCAGTAGAAACCTCACTGATACAGACCCTTCACCCACGACTGCCAAGCCAGCTGGTCATGTGATCTGTCACCATGCCAGCAGCGTCACGGCTTTTAGAGTAGAAACGCAGAGCCCAGCCCTAGACCCCCCAGCTCAGGGCTTCACTTTAACGGGATGCCTGTGAGACCTGGAGACATCATTGTAGGCAGGAGGCCGTCATTCCACATCATTCTTGGGGAGCATGTCCTCCCAACCCCAGAGACTGGGCTGCATTCCACGGGAGTCCTGGGAACAGGTGCATGTGATCACCTTGAACATGTAGCCAGTCCTGGGGTTTTCCCGGTCATGCTAAGCTCACCCCCCTCCCCAGTTCCATTGTGCAGGCTTCCCAGGCTTTGGCTACATCAGGCTGTTTTGCTGTTTGGGCTCCAAGGATCTTCCTGACACCCTGTAACCTCTCTGTCCCCCTGTCAAAGATGGAGGTTCCTAAGGGTCGCACTGCGCAGCTGCTGAATGGCAGAGCCCCTGTGTCCCCGTCCTCCGCTCCCCCGCCTTCTAGCACGGCCGGCCGTGGGCAGCTTCCCCCACGCCCCTTTTCATCTTTCCTTCATTCACCCAAGCGGCACCCACTCCGCTGTCTTCTGGGAATCACAGTACAAGCAGTGGGAGTTTGAGTTGGTGATGGTCACACGGCTCGTGTCACAGGGCTGTGAGCTACGTCAGGCCCACGACTACCAACACCTCCACCATCCCCAGTGTGCGCACACACACCCCATTGTCTCTCCGCGCTCTGAACCTCTGTGTGAGTCTGAGTCGTGATTTACCCACCTCCGAAGGCAGAGAGCGACAGCCAACCGCGTACCACCGCCTGCCAGTGAGTCACCCGATGCCTTGGGAAGTTTCACGCGGGGAGAGTGTGGGAGAACCACGAGAAGGGCGAGGCCCCTCGGAGGAGGAGGACCGTTGTCTGAGGATGTCTGCTCCCAGGCAGCCCACTGAGTCACCACGTCGAAACAGGTGACTTCCTGTGCCCAGGCCCTTACCGACATCGTGTGTAACGGGAAGAGTGACCATGGACGTGCATACGAGCCTCATGCTTCAGGGGTGGCGGTTCACGTCCCAGGCTGTCACGGAGGTAGACACAGCAGCAGTGGCACTACAAACTGAGCATGCCAGAGTACCCAGCATGGTGTGTCCTTGTGTCTGCCTTGTCATCAGAAGAAGCAGGAAGGCTACAGCCACTTAGACAACCACGGCTGTGCTCCATAGGCCTCTCTGCTACTAAGGCAGGAGTGTGAGGGTCTGAGGCACCCTCCCCCTCACCCCTACCCCCCAAGGGGTCAATTGACCAGCTAGAAATAGAAGAACTGGTTAGCCTGGGGGGTCTGGGCAGAGCCAAATGAGAAAAAAGTTGGTGGCGGAGATCCCTGATGGGAGATGGTTTGCCTTCAGGGGTGAGCATCAGTCAGGGAAGGCTCCCAGGAGGAGGTGCTGACTCCATTCCTCCCCCATTTGACCTCTTCCTCCTCTGCTTTTTAATGAACTTCATTGTTTGGAGAGGTTTAAGCTTCACAGCAAAATGAAGCAGAAAATCCTGGACATCACATTACCCCTCCCTCTCTCTGACCAGTCTCCCCTACTGTGGACTTCCAGCTCTCAGCAGTACCAGCAGGTCATTATCTCCCTGGAGCTGGACCTTACCTCTGGGATCTCGGTCCTGGATGCTCTCTGGGTTTAGACAAAGGGACCAGGAAGGCTCGGGAAGAACGCATCACTGGCCTAGACATCTAGTCTGTCCACTGTTCCTTTGTCCCCACTGTTCTCTTGGCCTGGATGTCAGGAAGCTGGTGTTGGGCAGCAGCCCAGTGGCCAGCTCTCTCTTAGCGTCTGTCACTAGATGCGCCCCTCATGGCTCCATGGTTCTTTCTCCCCTAGTGATGAGTGACATTTCCTTGTCATCCTTCACCCAGTCACAGCTCAAGGCATCTTGGTTTTCAAGAGCAATTGCCTTTAAATCAGGTGGCTGAGCCTGGACAGGGACATCAGTAAGTCTGGCCCATGAGGTGCCCTTAGACCTGCAGAAATCCCATGATCCTCTCTGAGCACCCCTCAATAGACTCTGGGCTGTGGAGTTGACCCAGTACAACATCAGACATGTGATCTGCCAGTGCTGGTGTTCTGTAGTCACTCCAGGGGTCAGTGGCTCCTCTCCCTGAGCCGTACCCAATAGCTCATTTAATCCACAGGACAGCCTCGGGAAGAGGATGCTGTTCCCAACACAGAGCAGGAAGCCACAGCTGTGAGAGGTTAAAAGGTATGCCCAGAGCCACTATGGACACCTTCTGGGTCCAAGCGTTCCCAAACCCTGTTGCAACATGCCCCACCCTCAGTGTTCAAAACCCAACAGGTGTGCCCGGAACATTTCCTGTGGCTCCAAAGAAGAGACGCTAAGAACATCTCACACACCCAGGCTGCAGGTTGGAGGCGGTGCACGGCACCCACCCCTACTTCTGCTGTGAAGCGCTTTCAGCCCCAAGTCCCCACTGTCATCCTTACAAAGCCCAGGGCTGGTGGGAGGGGAACGCCTTGTTCTATGGAGCAGGAAACAATAGAGGAAAATCTTCGGCAATGCAGAACTTCAGATTTGAAGAGGAACTGAAAATTGCCCAATTCAGAAGCCTTCCAAACTTTCAACACCCTCAAGGCTCAGCAGCAGATCGCTTAGACCTGCGGAGACATGGGGGAGAGGGTGAGAAGTTTCGGATGTTGGCAGGAGCCTTGTGGACAGTTGAGATGTGACCTTGGATACTCTCTGAGTCCTTCATATAGCCTTCATATATGCTGTCAGATGTGTGTAGATACGGCAGAGATTTTTCTCCCACTGTGCATTCTGTCTCCACTCTGTTAATTGTCTCTTTGCTGCGCACAAGCTTTTAAAGTTCCTGTGATTATTCCCTAGGCATTTGGAGTCCTTTTCAGAAAGCCTTTGCCGGTGCCAAGATCTTAAAATATTTTCCCTTTGTTTTCCTATAACAGCTTCAAAGTTTGAGGTCTTCCGTTAAGGTTGCCAGTCCATTTGAGATTGATTTTTGCACAGGGCGAGAGACAAGGATCTAGTTTCACCCTTTCCGTGTGGGTGTCCAGGTTCCCTGCACTTGGATCGAAGGGTCTCTCTTTCCTTACACCTGTCTTTGGCCTCTTCCTCAAAAATCAGGTGGCTGGAGCTTCGTGGGTTTGTTTAGGTCCCATGTCTGTTGGCCTACTTGTTTGCATCTGTGATGGTGCCATGCTGTTTCTGTTACTGTGGCTCTGTAGTATAACTTAAATATAGATATTGTGGTACCCTTAACACTGCTCTTTTTGCTCAGGATTGCTTTGGCTATTCAGAATCTTAGGTGTTTCCATTTGAATTTCATGGTCTTTTTTTGTTCCGTGTGGTACAGAATGACGTTGGAATTTTGATGGGGAGTATTGAATCTGAGTGTTGCTCTGTAATATAGCTGTTTTCA